ACGCCACGCAGCCAGATATCCGCGCGGACCTCATGTGGGTGGTCAGCGTCAGAGACAGCTTGGCCATCGCGCGACAGCGGCCTGACACGCTGTTGCGGGTGGTTACAAAGCCTCATGTTCTGTTCGACACGGACGGCGAGCCTTCCTTGCGTCACTGGCAGGTGATCTTCCAGTTTCCGGCTGCGGACGGAGATATCGAGCCGTTTGCCCGCCGTCGGGCGTGGCAGCTTTCCTTGGACTCCCAGCCCAGCCTGGAGATCAAGCGTCTTCAGGAAGACGCCATGGCAATGACTCCGTTGACTAAGGTTGCCAGAGTAAAAGAGGCTTTGACCTCGCCCAGCTTTCGTGCTTGATGACGCGCGTGCCGTTTCGGGCCGCGCGTTCGTGTCGGCGCGTGCCGCGTCGGGCCGCGCGCTCGCACGGACTGCTGCACCGCTGAAGCAGACGAAGAGAAAAGCCTAGCTTTTGCGCTTGACACGCGTGCCGTTTCGGGCCGCGTGCTCCAGCCCAGACTACAGCACGGCTTGGGCGGACACAAAGAAAAGGCGCTCTCGGGGGGGAGGGAGGAGAGTTGAACTTGAAGCGCTCGTTGGGAGCTTTGGAAAGGGAAAGAGAAGAAAGAGAGAGAGAGAGAGAGAGAGAGACAGAGAGAGAGAGAGAAAGAGAGAGAGAGAGAGAGAGAGAGAGAGAGAGAGAGAGAGAAAGAGAGAGAGAGAGAGAGAAAGAGACAGAGAAACAGAAAGAGAAAGAGAGAAAGAGAGAAAAAGAGAGAGAGAGAAACAAGGGGCCAAGGACAGTTCTCCAAACTATAGTTGTTCACTGCTTTGACACTTCCGCCCCCCGGCTCTGCCGGACCTTACTTATATATTTTCCCATAAACCGTCATAATTTGCAAGCACCCCCTAATCCACCTTTATCCAATATATAATTCAAATATAATATTCTTTATTACTCAAATAGCATAACTCGTATAACCACACCTAACATATAATAACCCATGTTCTTTTCAAAACATAAAGCCATAATATCACAACGCATAAATAATAAACACATCTACAAATTTTTAGAATTTAAATATAAAATAAAACATTTAAATTTAGAATTTTTAAGACTTAGGTTTCTATAAACAAATTTCAATCTTTTTAAGATTTCGATTTAAGAGAATTTAAATTTAGGGTTAAATATTTTAAAATTAATAAAAACAATAAAATCTAAATTTATAGTTTTTAAATTTTAAATTTAAGATTTTTTTATCGGAATATTAATTCGAACCATAAACAAACCTCAAAGCTAGCCACAATATATTTTATTCAATCAATTACATTTTTTTTTTCAAATAAATATAAATCAAACATATTAATTTATTTTAATTAAATATAAAAAAAAAATCTATTAATTTTTTTAATCAACATTAATTTTTTAAAATAATATTTTAATACTTATATTAAATAATCAATTTTTGAAAAATCTCCAAACAACACAATTCATCTTTCAAACAATCATAAAACACACTTCAATTAGAATCCAAATCCTACAAAACAAACCCATAAAAATATAATATAATCAAAACATAACAATCATTCAATTTATCAAATAAATCCATTTAAACATATCTCTAAACAAACACATCTTTAAAAAAAAATACTCCAAAAAGTCGAACCATTCGAGTAGTTTTTTGTAGAATTTCTCAAACAAATACAAATAGAGATATATATCTATATATATTTATATTCACATGTTTTTTTGGAACGTAAGATCCAGGCAAGTTTATAAATTACCTGAGCAACGATCGAACATTAATGGATCAATCAAGGAATCCTTCATTCCCTTTCCCTCAATAATATTTGCTGTCCGGCCAACAAGCCAACAACATTTTTGCTGCCAAACATGTCCAATGCACCGACTTGAGCAAAGAACGTATGTGCACGAAGGTCCGGTGCTGGATTGTCCGTCAAAAGCCGGCCGGTTTTTGGTTAAAGGGAATAACTTAGAACTTTCTGGCCACAAAACCAAACAACTTAGTAGACTCTGATAAAGCACCCACAGGCCCAAAAACAGAAAGCTTAATTTCGTCTGATAAAACCAAAACAAAAACACCCGCATCCACAGCCAGGGGGCGACGCTTCCGATCACCGCGGGGCTGCACCCGACGCTGCCAATTGTGGTGAGCCGCGCGGGGGCCTGGCGCTGTTTTTTGATTCACAGTGCAGAAGCAAGTTTGCGTCTGCCTCCACACCGGGAATCCCAGACTTGGGTGGGCTTCACTCACTCTGTTTATGCTCAGATAAGGGAATCGTGGCACTTGGATGAAACATTGAGATGAAAACAACGTGTTTTGGAGGATCAAACAATTGATGGCAAGCGGAGCCAACGAGGAACTAGCGCCAAAACAGGGCTTGTTTTGGAGGACGATGGCGCGCTTTGCTGGGAAAAGGTGCTTTGAATGATAAGGTGGAGGACTGTGAAAAGACAAAGCCACTGAAACAGCCAGGGCGAGATA